AAATAAATAATCAAAAAAGTTTTAAATGCTGCATATTCTGAAGCCATATGATAGTTTTTTTTTGGAAGAACAGACTAAAATGTAAGTTGTTATTCATTTAAAATATAGTGTTCAAAATGTTGCTTAGCAACTTACAGTACACTTACATTGTATGGAAAAGTGCAACTTGTATATTCTTCAATGAAAACACAGTAACACTTTAGAACAGGGAACACATATTTACTATTAACTAAGAGTTTTCCCTGAACAAACTCCTAATTTGCTGCTTATTAATAGTTAGTGAGGTAGTTGTTAAGTTTAGATATGGTGTGGATTAAGGGATCTAAAATACGGTCATGCAGAATAAGGCATTAATATGTGCTTTATAAGTACTAATAAACAGCCAATATGCTAGTAATATGCATGCTAATAAGCAGCTAATTAATAGTGAGAATTGGTCCTTAAAATAAAGTGTCACAGAGAAAACAATTAATAAAAGTCCAGAAAACATGAACAAAGACATCAGGAAATAATGATAAGCAAACTAAACTGTCATGACACTCATTTCTCAATCTATCTTATTTTATTTTCCACAGAAGAAAGAAATTCCTACAGTTTTGGAATTACATGAGGGCAGAGGCGGACAAAGTACTCAACTCCATTACTTGAGTGAAAGTACAGATACTGCTGGTCAAATATTACTCCATTACATATATATATATATATATATATATATTTAAAAACAGTGCAGATGGATGCAAGAACGCATCCTGTGTAAACAGCCCCTAACTCAGTGGAGGAATCAATCAGAACATCTCTGTCAGGAAACTTTAAAGCCAAAAAGGCTGAACAAGGGAGGAGTCTAGCCACAAGTAAGTGTGTGTGTGTGTGTGTGTGAGGAAGAGAAAGCAATCGAGGGATGACATCATTGTTAGTGATCACTTCCAAGGCTGTATCTGCAGAAAAGAGGAGAAAATGCTGGACAGAACAGATAACGTGGATGGATTGTGCAGGTAGAGTGAGCGTAAACAAAACTAGAGAGGCCATCTTGCAAAAAGGTGAGGAAATTTCCAATGAGACTGCTGAAATGATTGAAACGAATGGCTCGTATGGCTTAATGTGCATGTGATGCATTATATACCATAAACATACCATAAATATTAAAATGCACAAATGATTGCATTTCTGTAGTCTTTAAGTGGCCTGGATTTACAGACAGGAAAATAACAGCATCATTTGAAAAAAAAAACAGCAACAACCTTATAACACCACCTGCAGAACAAAGTGTTCCCAGGGGGCACAGTACCATCTCCCCTCAGAAATCTTTAGGGCGTGTTAATCAAGACAATCGCTAAAAGACTCCAATAAAACAAAGGGTGTAGAAGAGCTCAAGCACCAGAAGCCCCTTCTGCCCAAGCTGACAGTAAAAGGCTGGACTCTAATAGGTTATTGACTATTGCATATGAGACAGGATGACATCACTGTCAGCCAATGGGAGAGCAGGAAGTGCGGAAGATGAGAAGAGTGTTTTTAATTTGTGTTTTGCTGAGCTCAGCTTCTCTCACACAAGAAAAAGACAAGAAATGCGTCAATGATGAATGTTGGAATTAATAAACGGAAGGGAAGAGGGGCTGTTGGCTTGTTGTCGAGTGGGCACGGGTCAGCCACGCTCTCTGTGCGCCTGTCACTGTATCCAGGGAGACCGTAGCTGGAATCAGTTTTCTTGTCGACTGTGTATGTGTGTGTTCATGCTTGTGTGCTTTTGCTGTACACTGAATGCATATTCATGCACACATGCAAATGTTTGTCAATCCTCCTTGACCATTAGTTTGAATTTTCTGCGTGTGCACTTGTCGATCTTCGATTCACCTGATCATGAGTCATTCCTCTCTCCGCTCCTCTCTACCTCCTACGTGAAACCTTTCCTTTTTTGTTCTTTCTCGTTTCTCTAAAGTATGTAACCCCGTGGCTAAAACATCTTGCCATCTCCATGACAACACACTGTTGATCCACGAATCGTTGGTTAGTTAGCACAATCTCTAGCTGGGTGACATAATGTTGTCTCTGGTCTTCTGTGGCCACTGGACTTCACCACTTCTTGGCTGGGCTTTTAAATGGCAACCATGGTGTGTGTCTGCCAAAACACTTATGAAAGTGTATGCAATGGTGTGAGTATTTCCACACTGAGTAAACTAACCTGTTACATAACAACAGGAAATGGGTGCTGGATTCACTTTGTAACGTTTCACGTTTGGCTTAATGGCATTCATACCACTCAAAGGTTAGACACTCAAATGGTTACATGTGAATGGAACTATTTAAACAACAAAGATTGTGTAAAAAAAAACGAAAAGTACAATATTTGTCTTTCAAATGTAGTGAAGTTAAAGTCATAAGTTCCCAGAAAAAATAATACTCAAGTAAAGTACCGATACTCAAAAAGTGTACTTAAGTACAATACTCAAGTAAATTTACTTAGTTACTGTCCGCCTCTGCATGAGGGTGAGTAAATTATAGAAAAAAAACTTTAATTTTTGGGTGAACTATCTCCTTAATAAACACTTTAGTGTCCCACTATAGAAAATCATACGTTTTTTTTTAATCCATGATACGGAGTATTTGACAGACTTTTTAATTTTTAATTTCTTCTCTGTTTTCTCATTCGGCTGTGTGCCGCAAAGTTTTTTTGTAGACCAAAAAAGACATTTAGACACCACAATAACAGTCTTGCCCATTTTGTCAGTTTATACTGTATATATATGCTCACAAATGCTGATACCAGCAATGTGCAACAGTACAGTTCATGACGCCTGCGGCACGCCACTGTTTACCCTCTGGGATGGGACAGGAGTGTGGTGAGCATGCATTTGTGTACGTGCGAGCACGCATGTGCGAGAGTAGAGAGAAGGTGATGAGTGTAAAAAATGAGGGGGAATTTGTGACGTAAACAAGAGCCAGCACACAGGGAAGAGGGACACGCACAGACTCAAAGCAATCAACAGACACTGACCTACAGAATTACAGCACCGAATACAGTAGGCCTCATTATAAACCCAACAGACTAAACTTCCCATTGAATAAAGCTGCAGGTCATTAAACAACTCTAATAAAGTGAAAAGATGGCAACTTTGCAAAATAATCAATCTTAATATAAAATTACTCTTCCTGGGATGCTGATGAGAAAATGTGGTTTGGCCACAGATAATAGATAACATGAGTCTAACATTATTAAAATTGGTCAAATAGAAAGAGACAAATAAACAAACACATGAGCAAGAAAGCAAACAAGACAGCAATAAAAAAGGTAGAAGGCAAAACAGAAAAAAGAAAAAGAAAAAAAGCGGTGCATAAGAGATGCAGCACTCATGGGAGAAGAGACTAAAAAAAAAAGATATTAAAAGTCAAAGGTTAGACACTCAAATGGTTACATGTGAATGGAACTATTTAAACAACAAAGATTGTGTAAAAAAAAACATGCATAGAATAAAGAGATGTCATAAACCTCTCAAATACATATATAAATAAACATATATAAATGAATTTTCATTACAAATTATAAGTAAAAAAATCTGAGTTAAAAGTTGAAAAAATAACATGAATTTAATTTCTAAGCATTAATTATGTCCTCCTTCTGTAATTAATTAATCAATTAAATTAAATATAAAAAAATATTCAATATTATTTATCTCCACCATGTCTGATGATCATGTTATGTGAGAATGACTCAAAGAGCATCTTGTGCTTAAGTGAATATCTGACTTTTGTACAAAGAAGTTCAAAAGGTCACTGTCAGAAAATTGCTTTTTTTTATTATTATTTTTTTAAATATATTTTTAATTTTATAAACAAAAACATTATTCTATCATTTTTATATGAAGGAGTCTTAAAAGGCAAAAACTCAAATCAATGCTGAAGGTCAATATGAAAAAAGCTAACCTTTCCTACACCACTGTAAACTGGCCTTACCACACTGTCAGAGTACATTCATGTCAACCAGTTACAACCTGACAACATCTACTCCATACATACCATAAGAGTATGCTTATGTGTCAGAAGACATATTTCAGAATCTGTGCAACAACTTGTGAAAGACCCTTTGCCCTTTTATGGATTTGTGCATGTGAGCATAAGTGTGCACATGTACTCTAAAGAAAGTGACATGAACATGCCCAGGTCATGTTAGTGCACATGTGACATTGTCAACCTGCACAATTATTTACATGGTTGTGATACTTAAGTTGTGACAACTAAGGCTTTATCTGTGCACATGTGTGCTATACTCAGTGTCAAGATGTAAAGGGTTTTGCTGGACTACGTATATCTGCATTTTTAAACTTATTTTTAAACTTTCTAAAAGTCTCAGTCCAAAACAACAATTGTATGTGAATTACAGTGAGTTTTCTCCTATGGAAAATTCATGCTGTACCTAATCCTTTTAGTAGAGAGGAAGAGAATGAGGTGTGTGTGTGTGTGTGTGTGTGTGTGTGTGTGTGAGTGTGAATATGCATCTATTTGCTTCATCTAATCCAACAGTAGTGCTGAGTTTTTTTGGAAGCAGCATCTCTCAAAAAAAGTATGGAGCCAGAGCACTCCCTTGTGGTGCTAAATAAGAACTTCAGCTAAACTTTACAAACTTCTTCAACAACAGTGGCCTGGATCACAGGAAGTTACTCTGCTCAAAAAGGTTTTATTGTATCTTTTCATGTTTTAACGTATTTCACAATTAGGACTGTCATCCTTTGACATTTTTTCTTTTGAACCACATACACGCAACAGCAACATTTTGATCACAGATTTGTCTGAATAAATTATATCCCATTCAATATTACTTTATCTTTTAAGTTTTAATTAAGACTCTCAAGACTTCCATACAATCAATTCCGCAAAAATTAAACTTAATGGTTGTTTAATAACTAGGTGCTGCCTATTAAGGCACATGGGGCTCATATATTATTTAATACATATTGTGAAATTAGAATGTACAGAATAAACCACTTATGAAAAAACATGTTATGACTTGCCTGTTTCCAAAGCCTGCAATAATTCTGGGGATCCAGTCCAGGTCTGGCCAGACCGGTACAATGGCTCATTCTCCCAGTCTTGAGCACAGGACAGAGGTCAGGTTTATAATCTGATGTGTTTTCATGCTAAGCAAAACTGTTTAGTAAATTGAACTGTTGGAGAAATAAGGTACATTTAAACCCCTTACAAAAAGTACTGTGGTGGTGCAATGGTAAAGTAATGGTATAAGATGGCAAACACATTGTATTTTGATATATGCATTACCTTTCAAACGTCTGAGGTCACTACGATTTTTTTAAAGGGGACATCAGATGCCCATTTTCTACAAGTTGGTATGATTCTTTAGGGTCATCATGTCCCCTTTAATAATACTTTTATAAAGCAAGGATGCATTAAATTGATAAAAAGTGACAGTAAAGACTAATTTTGTTACAAAAAATTCGATTACAAATACACAGTATGCTGTTCTTTTAAACTTTCTATTCATAAAAAAGTCCTAAAAAAATGTGGAATGGTTTCCGCAAAAATATTAAGCAGCACAACTGTTTTCAACATTGATAGTAATAAGAAATGTTTCTTGAGCACCAAATCCTTGGTATGCATAATACACATCTTACAAAAACGTTTAAAAATCTTACCAAACCCAAACTTTGAATGACATTATCATTATTACCGTGCTACAACAGAATCTTTCATATGTAATTAACTGATTCTAGAGGTGAGTTTTTTGTACTTGCAAAAATATATATTTAATTTATCATGAAGGAAATATACAATTACTAGAAGTCGTCAATAACATCATAGGTCACAAGTGTAAGTGCTAGACTGGTGTCTAACTCTCTTTGAATAGTTTAATTAGATAGGTGAGGCAGAGGAGCAAACTCACCCAGTCTCTCTAGAGCCTCCGTCAGCCTGAGCACCACGGCTGGGGTCTGGTCATGCAGAGCACACTGCTCCAAAACATCTCCCTTTCCACAGGGGCCTGTCAGAGAAGGAGGGAGAGAGAGAGAGATGATGATGATGAGAAATCCCACTGGTGAGACTAAATTTCCTGATTAGGTGGCTGCCTGTAAACCCACATCTCATCTCTCCTTAGGGAACAGTCAGGTTGTCATATTCACACAAGCATGGTAGATATGCAACTTAATACTCAAGCCTCAACTTCCCACACACATTAATGCAATAGTTCACATGAACTCTAAAAGCCATAATTAATCTAGTTTTTGAGCCAATGTAAACTAAAAATTACAAGTAATATATTTAAAAATGGACATTAAAGGGACAGTCCACTCAAAAATGAAAATTCTGTCATCATTTACTCACCCTCATGTCATTCCAAAACTGTATGACTTTCTTTCTTCTGTGGGACGCAAAGAAGATATTTTGAAGAATGTTAGTAACTAAAGAGTTTAGATTCCCATTGACTTCCATTGTATTTTTTGTCCATACAATGGAAGTCAATGGTAATCTAAACTGATTAGTTACTAACATTCTTCAAAATATCTTATGCTTGTCCCACAGAAGAAAGTAAGTAATTCAGGTTTGGAATGACATGAGGACATGTAAATGTAAATAATGTAAATGATGACAGATTTTTATTTATTTATTTATTTTTTGGGGTGGACTCTCCCTTAAAATGCTGCAAAATATAAACATTTTGTCCAAATGGCTTTTTAAAATGCAGTATATGATATGCCCTCCAGCAGAATGAAATACAGTGCATAATGTTTCATAAGCATCATTGTCTCTGCCCATCTCCACTGTCCTTCTTCTGAGCACTGACCTTCTGCTGAGGTTACAGTTTGGAAGTGTGCCCATATAGCTCTATATGCGGGCACTTATATGAGTTCAGACCGCCATGGATAAAATCCTTGAGGAGGTCTGATGTTTAGTATTGACATTTAGTAATGTGAATGACACTCACAATCCTTCACATGACACCCTGTCCATGTTGTCCTGGGACAATGAGCATGTCACACATGACCAGAACATGGTGTGGAGTGGAAATGGACCCGGGAGAGGTATTTATTTTTTTCAGACTGTGCCTTAAAAGACTATTAGCCCATTAGAATTAAAGAAATATGGAATTTGTAAAACTGGAAAATTGATATTCAACACTTTACAATAAGGTTAAATTGTAAATGCATTAGGAATCATGAATCACAATGAAAACATTTATTAATCCAGGTTAAAGTTCATTTATAAATATACTATTGTTCATGGTTACTAATGTTTGTTAATAATACATTAAAGCTGCAGTCCGTAAATTTTGCCTCTTTGTCGCCATCTCTATTTGAAAACCTGGAATTGCAGCTGTGTGCGGAATTATCTTCCTTGCGCGGGTTGTGAGTCGGCACGGCTCCAGCGCGATAGTTTTGAACACTGGCTGGTTATGTACTTGCTCAAATATTGATTTCGGATAATTTTTTTTTTTAACCAAAAAAAGTTACGGACTGCAGCTTTAATATTAATATGTAAAAAAATGTTAAAAATGTTAAAAATTAATTAATTAAATTAAATTAATTTTAAATGTAAAAAATTTGTTAGGATATGTAGAATTAACCAAGATTAATAAATGCTGTAACTGATCCTTACTGTAACTCTATTAAAAAATGTTTAAGGTGGGGATAACAAAAAAATGTTGTGAAATGTAAAAATTTGCTAACTAAGAAAACATGATGAAGTGTTCCTTTCACACATGCAAATAAAGTCTAAAGGTCATATCACAATAATGCACTACCCTCGTAACTGGAAATTACATAAACATGATTTCATCTTGTGCCCAGATATTATTATTATTTAAAAACATTAAAATAACTTTTTGGTTAAGTATATATAGCAAACTCAGAGCTTCACCTGTGAGCAGGAAACTAAACTGACATTTACAAACCTTGTTACACTCATTTATATCAGTATACGTTTTATAAAGCTACCGAGTGACAATTCCATCCATTTACATTAAATTTGCGTAATAGCAAGGAATTCAGATTTTCGGCACCATTATGTGAAGTATGAGATCCATGAAATCGTTGTGCTCTTGTAGTGCCATTTGTGGGCTCTTGTGAATTATCTTCAGGGACAACATGAATTAGCAGTGATGTGCACCACCCGCTAATGTCTACACAGATACCAATGCTATCTCTCGTTTTTTTCTCTTCTGTAATTAGGAAATGGCAGTTTATTTAACAGAATCTCACACACACAAGCATCTGTTGACAGCAGGAAAAGTTTGCATTCCCATGCACGGATGTAATTGGTGCGCTAATCTGCACAGCAGTGGCCCTTGTTGCACCCCACTGCAATTTCCGCACAGGAGAATCACGCTACAAGGTGGCAAATACTTTTCTGATCTGTGCTGATTTTTTTTTTAT